GGGGGGGGGCGTCCTTGGATTGAGATTGGGGAACCTTAACAAATCGACCATTGGGAAGGCAAGTTGTGTTACAATCTAACATGTGAAAAGCTTGATCAGCCTCATCAGCCTCGACCACTCCGTCAGAGCGCCTGGACTCAGGTCCAGGCCTGGCATCACACTTGTCCGTTTTTCTCAGTGCAGACCAGTGTTTGGTCAGGTGTGAGAGTGCAGGTCCACTGCGCTGCCACCTTGAGGCCGCCGATGAGGGTCCGTGACGCCCCGGCCCCACTCGCGCCACGCCGCGCCCCGCCACGCTGCGCCCGGGGGGCTGAGATGCCGATAAAGAGCACACCCGACTCTTATCGGCCACGGAATGGCACGGAGAGACAATAGAGTGTGTGGCAGTGTGATGAACTTGGCATGAGTACGCAGCCGTGAGCACTAGGCCCCCGGCCGCCTCCAGGAGGCGTTGGGAGGTGAGGATTCGGAGAGATGAAAAGGAAGGGGGGACGGGGGACAGGCGAAAGGTACCGTGAGTGAGCAGTGAGCGGAGCAGCCCAGTTTCAGAATGTATTCGTCCGGCTTTGCGTTTCGCCAGGATTGTTACAAGGCCGAAATGGCACACCGATTTTCAGCAGCCATGTCGCCAGCAGCAACACGGAATTTCGGATTCGAAATGCTGAGCGATATACACCGTTCGCAGGGCCCTGTTGATAAGACGCAGCGGAGTATGAGAGTGCAAGCGATGAGAAAGCGAAAAGTTACATGCGCCTGAGATTTGGGCCACCGCAGGGCGCTTGTCGACGACGGTGAGCGGGGCAGCGAGCCCCTCTCTGTGTACCCAGTGTACATGCGTCGCCCCGTCCCGCTAAGCGAGCATAGAGCGGTGCACGGTGGCACAGAGCGCACTGCACTGAGGGCGATACAGTATCTGGCAAGGCCTGGCTGGCGTGGTCCAGTCCACTGACCCACGAAGACCGGCCCCGCTCCAGGGAAAACACACCCACGAAGAAGTATAAATAAAAAAAATGCAGACATGCCACCACAGGGTGTTTGAACTCGCGACTGTTGTCCTATAAGTGGAGGGTGTCCGGTAGGGG